AATATGAGTCACGTGTAGATGGTATGAGATATGAGCAAATTTAACATAACAAAGGCAAGGAGGCCATATTGTGAATCCACCTTTGTCTAAGGATAGGTAAACGGTCGCTATAGAGCTTTTAACCCTCCAATCGCCATCCAGAATCTCAAGACATATTCATATAACTAACCGGCCGTAGACCACACATTAGAGCGAAGTTTGTGAAATATTTACATCGAAAAACCTACGGGAGTTAGGAAATTGAGGATGAGCTTGAGCAATTCCTGCCCTTTTGGTGTGTGAATGCCATGCATGTTTCGTATTAGCTTTAACTGAGTGCCAACAGTTTGCATTACCATGTCCAGACGATCTTCAAGTAAGGCTCGTTGGTCTTCTACAGAAAGAAGAAATTGCACCTAAACAGTATACTAAAACTCTAAAAAACAACATACCTAGGCTCTAGAAAAAAACAGAAAAAAACAGCACATCCAGATCTTGAAAGGACTAGTGCGAAAAAAACTTCGCGCCTTAAGGAATAGACGCCAAAAAGGCGGGAGGATTGTGAAGGAGAAACAATAAGGTGAATGAAATTTCCTTGTAGCAAGTAGAGTTCAGACAACGAACTATGCGCGAATTTTGACACAAAATGTCGAAAGAAAACTATTGGATGACACTTTCCACATTCTTTGCAAGGTTTACACAGTCTTTCTTTGGTTTGTAAAACTCAGTTTACTTCCTTATGACAGCGTCGAACGCCTAAATCCGTGTGTGTCGCATTTACTTCACGCTTAATTCGTCGTTAATAAATTGACATCAACTCATGCCCGTCGTTCTATACTTCGTTCCACAACAAACAACTTGAACCCATTTGTTGTATTGTTCGGATAACAACCCTGCTTTTCTGTTTTGTTTATGCTTGGGTACGTGGAGAGTCCGTCTTCGCGAGTTGTGTGGATCCCAGCACATATGCCATTCGTTCTTTTTTCTTGCAATCCTAGTCCATGGTGGTCGACTTGTTCGAGCATGGGAGCGCGTGCGAGTCTCATACCATGATCTGTAACACAACTGAAGCTGCAAGTACAGCTGATTAACTTTGTTTACAAACACGTCCGCCCAACGTGCAGGTGGTCGTTCTAGGGGACGCTTGCATTCTCTTGGAGTTCACTGTACTGTTTCTTTTTCGTCCATCTGATGTCTGTTCTTCCCATTATGTGACCGGCCCATCCATGTTTCGCTATCGATGTATATTCCCCTGGATCCCGAAGATGTGATAGATTTCGGATATCAGTGCTTCGCAATCCAGCTAGATATTGAAACTGCCAGTTATATTCCAGAACACATCGTTAAAGCACTCTTAGAATAGTGCGGAGTATTCTAGACGAGGTTGAAGTATCAGGCCACGTCTCTGAAGCAGAACCGTCAGGAAGGACCGTCGAGTCGAAAAGGTAAACGTGGATTTTCGGATCCTTCAGTTGGTCAATAGCCTCTTTGAAAGGCCCCAATGCAACCCAAGCTGCTCTCCTTCTTCTATCTAATTCCTCCCTCACGTTGTTTTCCATGTTCATTGATTGGCTAAGGAATACGCACGAACAAAATTCGATGACTCGGGACACAGTTTGGATGTGGTCCATGCAGCAAAATTCTTTTCGAAATCCTCCTTCTCCGACTGGTTGCGCCTTATCGAATGTCCTTCACATGCGCGAGAGAATAATCTTCGTGAAGAGCATGTAGAGCACAATTAGCAAGCATATGGGATGACTGTTACGAAAATCCCTTCGGTCTCTTTCTTGGGCAAGATGACCGTGCGCGACGTCCTCCACTGGTCTGTGATTCTTTCCTTTTGAAGGTAGGCTGTCATATGATTTGCAAGAAGTACATGTAAATTGTAATATTGTCGAATTCTGGAGCTGTGCCTTTTTTCATGTCGGGAAGTTTTGACGATCCCATTTTCGTTCATCAGGTCTGACAGCGGAACATTACAATCACAAGTCGCGACGGTATTTTTTGGATTGCTTCTTTTCTCAGCTGTTTCCAGTAGTTTCTTCCGCTTGTACCGATGTAGATCTTCCAGTAAAGCTCTTCTGCAGCTGCCACTTATTACTAGCCATGTTAAACATGTCGCAGTAGGATCAAGCTTCAGTTTCCTTCTCTTTTCGAGCAACTCCTTGGTAGTGATGGAGATGCGATCCCATCTTCTTGCTTGAGAAACTGAGGCGAATTCGGCACAGGTTTTCAGTCCTTCGACAAGCAGCTCGTAGTCTTCGGTCGGGTCTTCTTTAATCTGCCAGTCACGTTTGGACAGGACTTCGTTCAGAATGTTCTCGTCGTATGCAGCTAAACTTTTTCCTCGTGGTCGATGAAGAGCGTTCTTTTCCAGCATGCAGGTGAATCGAATCTTCGCGCGAAGAAAGCGGTGATCGGAACTAGTACAGAATGACGGGACTACCGATGTGTGAAGCAGGCACCATCTTCTATTTGTCAGGATATGGTTGATCTCCGCATGAGTCATGCCGTTGGGAGACTCCCATGTTCAGCGGCGGCTTTGTCTCTTCTGGAAGAACGAGTTCCCATGGAAGAGACGTGCTGCTGACAGGAGCCCTGCGAGACGGTTTCCATTCTCATTTCTTTCTCCTAATTCAAAATTTCCGACCATGTATGCCAAGTTTATTTGCTGTCTATCACAATTTTAACGGCAGGGTATAATGCAAAATACAACCATAGTGATGCTTAGATATTGTTGGATTTGGACTCCCCATATCAATCCCGTTGACGGGTGATTGCTGAGGGCACTGATCGATAGAAAACTAGCTGAGAGACAGGCGAAACAGAAATAAAGGCCTCGTATGATGTGGTGGCCAGAGCGTAAGCTCCCGGAAAGTGTAGTAGCGCGTTCGTTCCTAACCACAGACACCTGCGGACCGCAGTTTTGCAAATATCTCAGCACCATTGTGGTTGTATTTCGCATTTTACCTTGCCGTGAAAATTATAATATGCAGTAAATAAAAAGTTAGTATTGTGGTACTCCATTCAAGGATACTATAAACATTATATTATGTGCTTAATAAATTATGGAGTGTCCACGAAGTCGCTCTACAGTCACAAAATTGTCAGCTCAACCTACGATCGTATTTTAGTTTTTCCCTTAGAAAGTAGTGAACAAAAAAAAAAGATTACATTGATAAAATTCGTTTCCAGAAGCAACTAAATTGTCCTCAACCCATTCAAATGTCATTTCTAGGAGAAAGCATTGTGTTTGTCGGATGTCAATGGTAATCTCATTTTATGTTAATCTACATTGCTCTTGCTAACGTGTTCTTGTCTAAGAAGAAACAATCACAAAATAGTGCCGACCTTAGTTGATGGATAGTAGCCGCACAGAGTAATACATGGGAGATAACTGTGTCGGCTTTATTAGTTTCCTAGGTTATATCGAGGTGTCCAACGATCTCAATATGTCTAACTGAACGCTCACTTTTAAGAACTACAGAATAGCGGTGTTTCAGAGTTCGAAATTGGTGTCATTTTTAAAGTGGGATGGGATATACAACAACTGTGCAACAGGACCTATAGTGTATACAAAATTTTTTCGTAAATATGAGCCTCCATTTTCCCACGTCGTTTCAATCTCTACTTTCCCTTCATGTGTGCTTCGTAATGATACTGGTTATTCGCAATGGAGTGGTACAACACATGGTTATATAACACAATGAATCCTCTTTAACCTTTAGCACCCAGAAGCACGGCAAAAATATAATATCTCAGAAATACTATCAAATCATCGCGCGGTTTTGTAAAGTACACAATAGAAAGCTACCACACATGGCAAAAACATGTCGAAGGGTACAAAAGCGAAGAGAAGTTAGGTTCGTATAAAAACCACTTGAAATTTAGAGCACCATACTGATTCGTCGATACCGACTCATCCATAACTAGAGTAATTAACTAATTCATGTCGTGATCTGAGTGTTAACACTGCTTCACACATTTTAAAATATTGTGCGGTCCATTTATTACTCCAGTTCCATTGACAGATTGAGGTTCGACTTCGTAAAAAGTTCAGAAAGTCATTTTCATCTCAGTGTAAGTTCGAAAACCTACACTGTTTGGACCAACCTACTGTGCCGGTATACAAACATGAATAAGCAAATATTGCACATATATTATAAATAATCTCGAAAATGCTAATATCCATTCACCAATCAGACGAAAAAATTTGACTATAGTGTCAATAGACAACGTTACATTGTTGATATTTTCTGGAATACGCTCGCCAACGCCTCCTGTTAAGTTTCTGACGCTGAGAAACGTCAGGCTAGAAACAAGCCATTGACAATGACAACGGTGCCACCAGCAATCACCCGTCACCGCGAATGATAAAACCGTCAAGGAAAAAGTACTGGTTGAGAAAAAGCAGAATGAGGGCCTCGGTGTTACCGTGCGTAAAATGTTAACCGCCCGAAAGGATAATCGCGATTCGATCTGACCTGAGACTCAAGTTTCGAAAATAACTCAGTATCATCGTGGCTGTACTTCACATGGAAATCCGCCATGCAAAAAATAGGCAGTAGATAAAAGCAACACAAGTCACTAGGTTTAAAAAATTCATAGGGAATGGATGGCTTTTTCCTACATCTTCGAGACTGCAATGTACACCAATCGGTCCAACTTCTGATAAGCTTGGGTATCACATCGTAGATGGTTTGAGGAAGGATTATAAACAAAGCTGAAGAATTCGAATAGCTTACACTTAGAACTAAGACAGTATTAAATTTACACATAAAGAAGTGCAATGAAAAGCGCTAAGTAGAAAGTGCTCACTGACCGCCCGTACCCTCACTCACTTTGCAAGTAGTCATTTACCTATTAACAACAAAATATTACACCATTAACGACTGGTTTTTTAAATATTGTTTAATAAGAAGTTATTAAGTAGCTTTCTCAAAGCAAATTTTGCTTAATTTTGCAAGCTAAACAATGTTAGACAACGTGGGCTTATGTAACATTGCGCCACAGTATACAAATTACAACAATACAAATAAAGAAACGTAACAGTGAACCTGTTCTAATGCGTCTTTCGCAACATCAATAAGTCCAGACGATATATTTTGGATAACCTTTTCCAGCTGATCCATAGTGTCAATAGAGGAAATTGAGGAAGATGATCCACTTCGTCTGGAAACTCGATAAATATGAAGCAACTTCCACAAAATAATTCAATTTAAAACACTGACAGTTTGAAAAAATGACAAACTAGTTACATGTATATGTACAACTTTAAACAAAAAGAAACACTTACTTCAAAGGATTAGTTGGTAACTGAGAAACAGGAATGCGTACTAGCATGCGGTGTTGAATTTTATCCATTTCGGAAAGCACTTGGGTTGTATTCAAAGAATTCACTCCTCCTTGTTCTACATACTAAACAAAAACTAATGAAGCCTCCAAAATAAAAATTATTACAAATTACTGAAAAACAAACGTCATTGTCTATAGTGTAACGTGGACCATGAGCTGTAATAAAATCTTGTCGATCACTACCGTCATCACCGCAGGTGAAGGTACCATTCAACACTGGACAAAATCCATATTTAAAAGATCAGTGAAACTATTTAAACGCCAAAAATGACTATTCGTACCTTTACTAGTTCTTTCAATGTCTGGACTATTGTCCCGCGTGTGGTTTTCCGACTGGTCAGGCCTAGCAGATGCATTTTGGCTATATGGACGGAAAACTGCCTGCCCAACTGAAAAAATCCTTTCTCAAAACAAACTTAAAGGATGAAGCAAACAAAAGCTTCCTAATGTTTGCAAATAGTCTGCAAGGCTAAAAAGTTCGCATTAAACACATGGTAACAATAGGGGAATAAAACAGTTCCAAAAATGCTACATCTAACTAATTACTACAAAGTAGATAACACATGATGTTCAATAACAAAACGAAACATAAGCTTTCGACTAACCTCCGGGAGGAACAACAATTTTAGCTCCAACTTTAACAGGGCCGCCATTGCTTGGTCGAATTCCAGTGCTTCCAGGGGCTACTCCTGATCTCTTGATACGTTCTTCTAACATTCCACGTTCTTTATCACCTATTTTGCCAATGTTACGCCACATCTGAACAAATCACTAAGTATATATCTAAAACGATTCTCCTATACAAGGTATTTGGAAACTATAAAAGTTGTTAGCATCAAAAACCTGATCGCCTTCATCACGATAGCAAGCCACCAGCCCATTTATTGCCGCGTTTCGTACATTGTTATCGCGATCACTAATACATGCCGCCAGAGCTCTATGTATACCCTATAAAAGAAAGATAACGACCATATTAATAACAACGTAACTTCAATATATGTTGCTAACGACGGATATTCTGGAAGAAATGAAAACGTCAGAGAATCAAAATTTAAAACAGTGAAAAACTTTGGGTTACAAACCAACGATCTCAATTGGGTAAGTCCAGCGCGGATAATATACTGCTCGAGAACCAGCAGACACTCCGCACGTTGACGAGCATTCTTCGTTTTCAATGCCTCTAAAAGAGAACACAAATAATATTCCAGTTCTGCTAACCAATACATGACGTTCGCATACCAAGAAGAGTTGGGCACATCTTCAATGGGCCACAAATGTCTGTAATTTCGTCAATGATGTCGCGGACGGCATTCCTCATGCTCTCCTTCTGTTCTCCAGATTTTATCAGCAAGTGTGGCACAAAGGCGTACATCTCTTCGGTAGACATAGGTTCATCGAATGATTGTACAAGAACCAATACTTGCTTTGCAAACTCCAACACCTTAACTTTTCTAATCAGCTGAGCTCATATACTTTGCAAAGTTGAACAGTTGCAGAATTAAAACGAAAGTCCAACCTTTATTAAAACAGCAGGGTTTGTTTCATAAAATCTTAACGTACACCACTTAAGTAGAAGATCACTGTTCTTCACAAGAGCTTCTGGATTAGTTTCCGCAGTCTAGAAGTATTAGACATAAATAATAATAACGAATTTAGATTTTACAGTTGTACTTGGAACAAAATTTTGTCTTGTGCATAAGCTTGTTTCTCAATATTTTTTCACCAATTTACAACCATACTCTATGCAATTTCTTTAAATTTCCTAGCCCTAATAGTCTGCTCCAACCACAAACTAAAACAACGAGTCATTCATTTTCAATGCCGATTTTCATCTAACCTTGAGACGAATAATCAATATCTTGGTTTATTGGTAAACTCACAATAGGTTAACCCTTTCGGGGCTCACTATTATCCACGGCACCAATCGAAACCCTTTCTTTGCCTTTCTCTCTGTCGATTTTTTAACTCTAACGTTGCGATCAGCATCCACCCCTTATAAGGAATGATCGCGGAGGATTGCGCGTGGGCTCCCTGGAAGGGATAATTGCGGGTTCGAAGTGCAAAAGAGGTTCCAAGTTTTGTTCATATCTTAGATCAATGTGACTATTTCGCACAATACCCTACCATGAAAAAAAAGAGGTGGTCAATAAAAGCTAAAACACTACAATAAATTGTTATAAAACTTTGTTCTCCCCAACGCTCTGGCGCCGTTGCCTTTTTCAGAGCGGCAATGATGGGAGTCGAGAGTCGAATGACTGCCCAAACGTTAACAAGAATAATGTTTTATAACGGAATATCAAAGTGTATAGAATGAATATTCACAGGAAATTGTTCATTTCCAAAACAAAGTTTTTATCTGAGTATTATCTTCGCGCTGGTCACATTTAAACATGCTATATTCAACCACATAAAGCTTTACGCTTGAACAATTTGATTTGCAAACATGTTCAATCAAGAACACAATTTACACGTAGGATATGCACATGTTCCACCCTCAGCATATAAATATATAGCATATAAAAACGTTCGACCCCGAACAAATGAGGCCGTTATCACAGTCGCAGGAAAAGGATCCGATGCAGCGATACTAACCGGCCGAAGTTGACGCACTGCAGTGAGTAGTTAAATCGCTCAATTAGAAAAGAAGAATGTAATAATTGGCAGTAAACTTCCAAAAACCTTCGTTTTGTCGATGACATCATCGTTTTTTCGACGAAGAGATAGAACTGAACATAACTATAGATAACTTTCGGAGCATGGAAAACATATGGATGAACAAGTACATTGATGGAGGTTACTAGGTTACAGGCTTGTCACATTCCAAGTGTATTAATAACGTTCAATGAATGGAGACAGTGTGGAGGAGCAACTGACCAGAAAAATGACAGCAACAGAACATGTAACCAAGCGTCTCGGATAAGGCACCGAATAAAGGACATAAGAAAAAACTCCACGCTCCTGTTTTTGTCTCAACGGTACTTCCAGCGCTGTGCCATGCAGTTACGACTTTAACAGCGTTAAAAAACCTGGGAAAGATTAACGGAACGCTTTAACGCTATTTTCTAAAGCGTGATCAACGAGCACAATACCCAGCTAGACTGCGCAGTTGAGACATCCGAAAGTTTATTCGTTATCAGGGTTCCAGAGAAATATAGCTCGAAAGCAAAACAAGGAAAAGGTTTATCTTAAGATGAAGAATGTTGAAGATAGATGGATAAGAAGAGTGGACCGGATTCCAAGAAGGAGCACATACCCTCCAGGGGAACGCACATATATCGCGAACGATGGTATTGTAGCTCTCGTCAACCTGTATTCGTGGCCGAAAGCAGAATATCGCTTGTGGAATGCGAATTTTACCATGGGTAAACCAGACCACACCCGTAAACGACTACCACGAGAAAAAGAAAACAGTGAAAAGTCGGCTGGAGACCGCACCGCACCAATCGTGGAGTCCAGTCCTTCAACTACCCAAGTTAATGAGCAAAACGAAACTATTTAAGGAAACCCGTGAAAAATTCGAAGAAAAATCAAAAGATGAAATAAAAACAAAAAAAAATATGGAGGATGAGAGGATTCAGAAGTGATCAATCTCTGAGTAACATGCATTCGATTACATCGGTCATCGCATCGAATACATATTCGGCCTCTACAACAACTATCCGGTGGTTTACTGATACCTTAATTCAATGTTTTCATTACCCCAAACAAGTAAAATACTAATCTGCTGACCCCGGTGAAATGGTAGTCTTGGTGAGACCAGAGCACCAGAGATCACCCCAGTGTTTATTGCAAGTCAACTATTATCACTGCGCTACACGTGTCCAAAAAATGTAGAAAAAGGAAATCGTATACAACCTTAACGGTGCAAGGTCTCTTCTATAAATAAGACCTCAGGCTTCTATGAAATCTAGTTATCGAGTAACCAGCATGGAAACGAATCTGTTAAAATAACCTTGTTGAGCAACTCAATTGCTTTGAGATGTTGCCTGAAATCTTTACTGAAAAGCATTGCCACTAGAGATGCTTTTGCTAGGCGTCCAATTTGATCCTGCAGTTGTGCTACATGTTCGTCCGTTGGCAAAGTAAAATTCCACTTCAGAATCTATAAATTTAATAAACTAGACATAATGTGATTTCAATTCAATGTATAAAGCCAAAAAAGGAACAAATATTCGTATTCAAATCTTACCACATACCTTAAGGGCGCGCTCATCTTTGAGTCGCTGCTGCTTCTCATCATTTGCAAACAGTAACTCATCCAAAGTCTTCTTTATTGGTGGCTCATTCTCCTCAACCTAAACCAAATAAACAAATACATGAAAAATTAAGATTGAGACCCTACCTTCTTTGGCATTTCCTTCTTCTTATCCTGAATTTTCTTCGCAGTTAAAACACCAGCTGGTGGTTTGAGAGACTGTAATTAAGAATCTTACAATATAGAAATTTAATGCACAACGTAAGTATTAAACCTAAGAAAATTGAGGATCTCTTCGGCAATCTTTAAACCGAAATACACTAACACAACAAAACCACAATACAGTCAACAAGAAGCAAATACTATAAAGCCGAAGCACAACTGCTGAGAAAATTAAGGAAAAATGTAACATTACGACCTCATCATCATCAGCTGGCTCTTCATCTTGGGCTGAAGCTGAACGGCGTTCCACTGATGACTCACGAGTTAATGGCACAGTTTTCCTTTCAGGTAGCTCCACTTCTTTTGAAGGAACAACCTACACACAGCCACGATACCAACAACAAAACACAACACAACATTTACAAAGCAACAGAGCGATAAAACTGTGCTAACTAAAAGTGTGGAAATGAACTATATGCTGAACAAATGAAATAGACAAAGCAGAAGTTTAACATCATTCACACAAAAACTCACATCGGCCTTGTGAATTGATTGTATCATTTGCGTGATTACCTCAGGACCAACTTCTTCACATGCCTTTTGGTAAAATTCCTTTATCTAAAACGAAGCCGCAGAATGATTGAGATACGAGTCAGCAAGGACATCAAAACAAGGAATTCAATTCACCTTCCCCATTTTCAACTTGTCGTCAAGGATATCCGATAAGAGCGGCAAGCATAACTTTTCACCTATAGCACGCATCGCAGACCCCAAAGCTGCATATGATGCGTCGCGAACCTCAGCATCAGAATCTCCGGTGTGCTTAAGGCAAATAATGAATCTCTGTACGGTCCAGAGCAAAACTACACAAAAGTGTCGTATTACAAGGCCATCATTACCAAGTGAAAAGTTGCTAGTAAACCAACTAGGAAACAGTAGGCTTCACTAATGTCATGTACAGCTTGTCGAATTGACGTGATCGCTCTAGCAAAGACCGAAAAATCTACTTCCACCACCGCAAATAACGGAATTTACCAGTTTTTGTTATTGATAAAATCAACAGAAAAAAAAGTTACCTTAATAAGCAGTGGAGCTAGTGCCTTGATGGTTTTTTTAGGCATTGTCTGAGAATCGAGTTGTTTAAAAGATCTAAAATACAACACTTCAAAAAGTGTTCATAAGAGGATAAAATTCACAGAGACATAGAACTTAATGAATGATGAACATATCGCTTACACACCAACGGACATCATAAATACCTGTAAAGAAAAAGGTCTGCTTGAATTTTTATATTTGGATTCGGTTTTTCGAGAGCGACAATGATATCATCTCCCATTGCCTCCAGAGTGGTCTAAAAGAAGCATAACTAAGCAATAGTAACAACGAATTTTCTTCCATTCCTTGATCAAATCGAAAAAGAACATACTGTGGAAGCAACTGCATCAATACATTCAACAAGTGGGTCGCGAAGGATGGGTTTCTTCTCCTTAAATTTGTCGAATATTGCAGGAGCAACTGCAGCTACATGCGGAGCAAACTAAACAGTTACACTAAACTAAAGAGTAAACATTGGACAAAAAGTGACAACAGTCTAAAAAAGGCCATGAGTGTAAAACTGTTAGAGAAAACACCTTTTTTCTTAGCCCCAAGGCAAGTCCTTTCATACATTTTGCCGCTAAAGAAGCCACATTGATGTTTGCATCCTTCTCAATAATCTAAAAGTATAGAGAATTATACAGACGATATCTAAAAAGTCCTAAGTAAATGCTTACACGTCTCAATAAAGCTATATGTTCGCCATAAGATACTTTTGGATCCAATTTCGGATTCGCTACCAGGATGTCGAGGAATGTCTTTAAAAGTGGCTATATAGCTGGTTACATACTAAGACATAAGGACAACAAGACGAGGACTTCTTATGTAAAATCTTATAGTTCAACTCACACACCTGCAATGCATCCCTTCTTTCCGTCCATTTCTTGCTTTCAACATTAGTGTTGAAATCCTCAGGTAGTTTAGCAAGTACGTCAACAGCCTCTAGAGAATCCCACGAATCAGCTTCCTATAGTTTTAAGGATAGAACAACCATAAAACAAAACGGAACAACATAAATAAAATCCTTACCAATTGCGCCGCAGTAGCTGAACACCTTTCAGCAGAAACAGAAGTGGGTGCACCACATTCGGATTTCAACAGAACACTTCCTCCCTGTTGAGCAGAGCCAGTATTTGGCGACTGTTTAGCAATCTCTTCCGCATGTGCTTGAGCTGCTTTCGCAGCGTATTCGCCAATCTATAATTTTCGTAAAATAATCCAATTACTTAAAGACTCGAAATCCAGCAGACAGCTGCGAATGACGACACGCAAACTTCTAAACCGATGATAGCTTCCAACATAACTATCTCGCAGTACAGTCAACGGAGAGGAACACTAAGACGATTTACCTTTTTCATTTTGGCTTCGTCGCTACTAAGATCACCAATCATGGGCCGAATATTTCTGTCTCCAATAAGGCGTTGTATAGAACCAATCGCACACAAAGAAGATTCACGAACATCTTGATCAGCATCTCCAGAATGTTTTATTAGTAAGGGTATCACAGTTTTTACAAGCTTTTTAGGGGCCTAAAAATATTAGAAAAATAATTGGAAATGAGCAATAGAAATGATGTAATGGGAACAAGATGTCGCACAAAACGGGACATAAACAACTGACCTTATCAACTGTCAGCGCATTCAACTGTCTATACAAAAAAACATCAACTTGCTGCTTAATCTGTGGATTTGGCTTCTTCATATTCTCTTCGATTTCTTCCACAATCAAATCCAATGATGGAATCTAGGATATCGTCAGAAATTTATGTTCACCCTTCAAGAAGTACGAAAGAAAATAGGAAATACCGTTGCCGCAATTGCGTCCGCACATTCAACAAGTGGATCTCTTAACAATGGTCTTTTCTCCTTAAGCTTGTCGAAAACAACTGGTATAATCTAAATCTGTATTACTGAAAACGAAGAGTTTGGAAAGAAACCATACAAATCAAATCTCTTACAGATTGCACATAAGGTGCAAACTTCGTTCTCAGTCCTTTCGCAAATCCCTTGATACATTTTGCAGCGAGGGCACAAACGTTTATATTAGCATCCTTTCCAAGCATCTGTTAATAATTCTATGCCCCATACAGAAACAGAAACAAACAAACAATAAATAGTGAGAAGTTCACAAACACCAATAACTTACGGTCTGAAGGTTACCAAGAATTTCCCCATAGCTAGCCTTTGATGACAAGCGAACATTCGCATCAAGAAGAGCAGAGAGAATATCAAGTGCTTCCTTACGTTCCTGCCATTTCTTCGACTCTCTCAACTCGTCAAAATTCTCAGGTAGCTTGGCAAGTATATCCACTTCATCCGCAAATTCCCATTCATCCATAACCTGACGAATCACAGAATTCGTCTCTACTTCAACAGGATTCGTAAGACCTGTAGAAGCAGAATTGCTCAAACTATCCGCACGGTATCTCTTGGTTGACCTAAACACTCATTAAAAGCGTGTATTAAAATATCAGTGAACAGGTATAGCGAATATCACATCAAACACATTCAAACACATTAACGTAAAGGCATAGCTTCTCGTCAACTGAATGTCATATCACTTAAGAATTACACACAAAAACCAATGTGCATCATCATTTATGAAGTTTCAAGCCCATCAGTCACAAGACTACATGTTGTTTCTAAAGGAGACGAATAGAATAAAGTTTTAAGTACACGACTCAAAAGCAATATGCACTACTCCAGAGACAGGCGGTAAGCACGCTGTCTCTTCAGAGCAGATTGACTTATACCTTTTTGTAAAAGAGGGCAGTTGTGTCTATTTATATGTGGATTACACCCATTACTTGAACTCCGTAAAAAAGCTGTAAATTAGGTAAGAAGCATATGGAAGGCGGACGGAGTCGTCAACAACAAGTAAGCCCTATGTCCGTTGATGTAGTTCCACGCATAGATGGGATGAAAGCTTGACAAGTTACGTGCGAATAGAGCAGGTCTCATTTGGCATAAACGACAGGTACTTCTTCGCCAAAAGAAGTAAGCAGCATTCAGTCTTATTAGAAGTGCACAGCTGTTTGCATTCCAAAACTGAGCAACGATCACTGTGGCCAGTTAAAGCAGGTTCAAACAACAAGTGGAGATTTCACTGTCACCTCTCAGATCACCATACAGAAGCGAAAAAGAAACAATTCTTAGTACACAGATTTTTTCAAAATGGTTAAAAACAAATGGTACAATAACATGCAAGCCATGACGCTTATACTGCAGTGTTATACTACAGGTTATCCGGAAAAATAGCTATGGTTTTTAATCTCCAACTTCAAATTTGCATGTTTCATCTAATGGCGAGCGTTATTAAATTAAAGACAACTAAAATTTGCATATTTTCGCCAACAATATACGTCTACTCAGCACCTATAAAACAGTGCTCAGAGAAAGACGAAACGAAGAACCCGCAAGGTGTGGTGGTGAACACGCTAGCCCAAGGAAAGCGTAATAGCGTGTTCGACCCCCACCGCAGACACTTGCGGTAAGGAGTCTTGCAATATCTCAGCACCATTGTGGGCATGTTTAGTTAGTCCTTTATAGTGAAGTTCTACGCCTTTGTTACCAGTTCCCGTTTTTCGTTATTTATAGCCTTACTGCTAATTGCCGAGTTTCTAAATGACTGTGTCGATGTGATTGGAAACCTTGAAGCCCATTAGCTAGGGGTCAAGCTAATACGGCGGGCTATTCCTATTCTTCCCAATGTTAGCAAAGCGGATTGTGTAACGTTTGGTAGGTCATTGTCATGCAAACGAACAGAGTTCTCCATTAGGTATAGGATTTGCTGTAGCTCTTAATGCGCATTCCCTAATAGTCTAAGTTCTAACTCTCTACTGTAATGGATTCGTGAAGATTTAGGAATTTACTATAACTGCTAACCACCAAACAATTAAACTGCTGGCGTGAAAGAGTGTTTCAACGCTTTATTTTTGTGCAGAAAGTCGCTGAGTGATGTACTTGAATCTACTTCTACGTCCGAAAGTAGAACACCATCGATGAAAGGACCACAACTATTATGAAAACAGGCACAGAACAGAGCTCACAAAGACCTTTTGCTCCTCTTTCCATTCACGTGACACTCATTTGTCGACATTTCCTTTTTTTACTATTTGATCTCCAATTCGATAAGTGTGTCCGAAAATTGCACACTTATGCTTAACTCTCACAATCTCTCGGAGCACTACACGCAATCCTACTCTAGGCAATACCAAGAATGCTAGGGATGATCAACCAAACTTTCATCTTCAATACCCTCCTCATCTTTAATGGTTCGATATGACAAAACTTCTACAACCAGTGTTGGTATGTTTGTAAATCGATAAAGGACAAAAGGGACAAAGCTCTCGGTGTTGACCAATCCCTGAGGGATGCACCACGCATTCGACTTCCTTAAGCATGTTGAAGATGACTGAACGCAATCTGGCCTTTACAGTGACTCGCGGTGGCCTACCGATATATCGAGATATTGATGATATCCTCCTAAATAATTCTGGTGCCAATTTGCCGACTCCGAGGGGATGGCCTGGGGAGCTTTGGGCGCGGAGATCGATGTCATGTGCACTGCAGGGCGCCTCCGAACACTGCGCTTCACTAGCTCTTTGCAGATCGACATATTCTCGTATATGTTCCTACGAACTGTCTTTATTGTGCTGACGCGAGGATGGTATAAGTAGCCATAGTCGTCGTTGTTGCTGTAGCAGTTGTTGTTTGATAGTTGACATTTCGGCGACTTTGCCTTCCTCAGAGCCTGGATGCATTTTATGTAACAATATCCTTATAATTCGGTGGAAAACCTATATTGTTAATGGTGATCTAACATACAAGTGAACGCTATTTTGTTTAAGAACTATTTGCCGTGCTGCTGCGAGTGGGAGTACCCGTGTTGTTCACGTAGGATGCCGTATGAGACCCACCCAGGTCAGAAAATCAACTTAAGGCGCCAGGTCATGTATAGAACGAAAAGTAAAGTGCTAAAATTTCCAATGTGCCACAGTTAACGTCTTTTTTTATTAGCGGCATGGTTTTTTTTTCACCGAATTATAACGCTACTGTTACATGAAACACGTTCACGCTCTGAAGAAGGCCAAATTGCCCAGACGTTAGTCATCGAACAACAACAGAACAACAGCAACAACAAGAACAACAACAACAGCAGCAAGAACAACAACAACAGCAGCAAGAACAACAACAAAAACTTACAGCAACCTTGCATCAATTCAACAAGGGCAGTTCATAATATGCATATTTGACTACTTTTGCCGAGGTTTATAAAACGTCGGCCTTTCGAGTCATATCTGTAAAGTTCCTTGGTCAAATCCACTGCTAACACTGAACGGATTATGCGGCTACAAGTTCGGGCTCGTAAAATTGGATTCCCAATTCTATGGCAATAGCATGGATTGAACACAAACTGATCCCAAAGCAAGAATATTAGTACAAATGGAGTGGAATTTGCACTCTATAATGGATCTGAACATGAACACAAAGAACATTCCGGTATAAAAACCCATTTCAAACAAAACACAATGGCCCTGAAAAACGAAGTGGAAAATACTTTACGAAGAACTGGGTCAAATAACTCAATAACTCAATAGGATTTTGTCTATTGCACAGACTAAATGAATTGCCCAGAAAGTATTTCACACACAAGTCAAAGAGTATGTTCTCAGACATTTGCAGAATAAAAATCAATGATGTTTAAAGGAAAAAACTTCTTAGTCGACGTTTTTACGATTTAGAACCAAATAACTCAAGCAGCAAACAATGCTTAGCTCTTTAGAGTCAAAATCCAGGCACTACTTTTAAAATTAAAAATGATAACCGTCAAAGGCTTATTAAAGGCTGAGCAAACCGTAACAAAAAGAACTAGGCTCTGAACAAAGAGACAGGCTCTACATAAAGAAGAGTACTGAATGCTTCCAATATTGCTTGGTGACGGTGGAATTGTCAAAAGGATTTAAAGGGCTCATGCAAACATTTCTCCACGGAGCGTATAAAGCAGAATTGGAGCGCTACAATTTCGGGTGTGCGATATCAGCGTCAGATTCGCACTTAAAATTATTTTGGATTGTTATCAAAGTGTTATTTTTCTACCAACCTGATATTGTTCTAAGTGGAATCATGCTGAAAGTAGATGGATCACATGAATTACGTGGAGTAGTTAAGATGCTTTGAAAATGCATACGGATAGTAAATGAACGGTTATTTGACGATGAGAGCTCTCGCCTTTTAAGTCCTTTGTGTTTGCTTACTTACTCATGGCTTACTTTAGGCTATCTTTGTCCCCACTTTGTGGAACTGTATGTATGATTTTTCGATAAATCATCGTGATGTGTTTAATATAAAGCAAAACATGTAAAATCACCTTACGTTCAGTACAAACCTCGTCATGAAGCTTTGTTAAATGTCTTCCAGAAAATATTGATTTGTTTACAGCATTGTTGTGGTGGAATGCTGTTTGCAAGATAGACGTGAGATGAGGTGTGGTCATCCTCTTGACGGTCGTGTGACTTCACGTTAATACTTACGATTTACCAACAGGTCTCAGTTAGGGCACATGTAGCGCAGTGCGCCCAGCAATACACATTGGTTCGGTCCCGCGCCGCGGGTTTGCCAACCTTTCATCCTCTCGGGGTAGGCAAATTGTTACCAGACTTATCTGGGAACACAGAAGCACAGCACTGGCTAGATACATTGGTAGGCCACCGCAAATCATTGTGTGAGCCAGATATGCATTCAATCACCTCCAAACGGTGCTCAATGAAGCTGAATGCACGGCGCATCCCTCAGGGATTGATCAAGGCCGAGGGCTTTATGTGTTGCAGGGCGCCTCCGACCACTGCGCCACATTCGCCCTAAACATCAGTCGAAATACAGACAGTTACAATATGCAAAGTAGAAAGCCTACCGTAAAAACGGTGAGTTTTTCAAAGGAAATGTTTACTGTGTGATTGAAATCAAGGTATCGGGATTTGGAATTGTTAAATGCCGAGTTAAATCATTATTGTATATTACTCTTTGTGTCAGCTAATAATGTTATCGATTACTACAAAATGCAATGTTGCCAGAAAAAGTGAGATTATTGGATTCCAACAGGTCAACAACTATCCTGTTTAGCAGGTTCAGTCCCGAGTGAGGTACTTCATACGAGTGATGCTCCACTCTTATTGGATTCGAGTCGATGCGAAAACGACCGAGTCTGTACAATCTACTCGGATCAGTGCGGCTCTGAGGAAGGCGAAGAGACCAAAATGTTATCCGAATAAAACTTTTTACCAACCTCGTTCTAGCTTAATCATTCCAGAAAATATGAATCTGGGTTGCCTCCGAAGA